GTCCTCTGGCGAGCGCCCGCCCTGCGTTAGCCTTGTTCCTGCAGCCGCTGCTGGGAAGGAGTACAGCAGTACAGCAGCAATAATGCTGACATCTGCTATGTGTTTTTCTTCAGCGTGCTAGGGAATAGCATTAGTTACCTGTAGTACGGTTCAAAATGACCTAGCAGAAGCCGGGATCAGCATTCATTAGCTCCAGCTCCTCCTGATGCGTCATAACAAGTCATCAGGTTATTGAGAGTAACTTGGAAAAGTTTCAGAAAGCATGCATTCACACAAAGAACAGATTGTAAGTTCTTTCTTAAATTCACGTTATGTTTGTTCAGTCCTGCATATTTTAGGCCCTCATCTCTGGCTTATCTGCAAGGTATTTTGAGGAGCTCGTGGGCTGCAGTGCGGGAATGCAGCAGGTTCAGTTTGTTGAATTGCGCCCAGCGCCGTGTGAGCATAGTGTCCTCTGTGCGGGGTCTGTGCAGAGGGGTCTGAGGATTTCCTTGTTCCTCGCTGGTGCGGAGGATGGGGAGACTGTCGTGAGGCGGGGGGACGAGCAAGTGAGGTTCAGGATGCGCTTGTGGTCGTGCTTTGGAAGCTGGATTGTGTAGGGGACAAAGCGAATCTGCTCCAGTTGGCTCTGTGCTTTCTGGATGCTAGTCTAGGTGAGGAAGCAGAACTCTTTCCTGGATTTGGTTCATTGGCAATTATGTTTTCATCAGTACTGATCACCGGCTTCTGTTGTTTTGAGTACTTTAGATAGTCTGGTGGTTTTGCGTGGCGTTATTATTTACATAGGGCCCAGACTTGCTCTTTTTTGTTGCCTGCAGCACGATGTTTGTTCAGACTGGGCATTGTGGAGTGTAAACCCAGGTCCCACTGGCACCAGCACTCACCTCTGCCTTTTCTAGAAGCAGTAAGTAACCAGCCATCTTCATGGCCTAGAAATGTTGGGGTTTAATTGCTGTGAAGAGGGAATTGAATTAGGTAGCTCTGGTTCACAGCTTGTCTGGCTGCTCAGCAGTGATGCTTGTTTACACAAAGTGCTGCCCTTTACCTCTGGGTGCGTGGGGGGCGTTCCCTGGGCCAGTCCTACCTGGAAGCCAGAAAAGACCTGCCCTGTCTGGCTGCCTCGGCAGGAGACCGCGGGCTGAGGCCGTGCCACCTTGCCCCATCCTGCTCCTCCTCCTCAGCGAGTTCTTCCAGCAGCGCTCTCGCCCTCTCCTCCTGCTTCCTGCAACAGCATCTCTCCTTGAGTTGGTTTTACCCTCTTCTACCCTCTTTGCATATCTCCCTCCCCTGAAGTATTCAGTGTTGCCCTCCCTCTCCTCCTGGAAGACGCTCAGCTTCTTTTCAAGGCCTTTGTCTGCTTTGCATCAAACCATCCTGTGCTGCTTCGTCTGCGTTCCCCTGGTGTTCAGGCTCTTTGCAGCAAGCGTAGTTTTGCATACAGCGCCAGATACATCTGTGCTGCTACATGAAAATGATCTTGTTAAGGAGGGTGTGAAGGGCCCAAAGCCTCGTGGGGGAAACCCCCAGCTTGTTCAACGCCCTTTATGGATGGGGAGCCTCATAATGAAGCTTTCTTGATGCTTAAAATGGCAGAGCTACTTTAACCATTCTGACTTAAGGATGAAATTTGCTCTTTATTGCAGTGGGGGGATGAGCCTGGGTTTTCTTACTTTGCTAGATAGAGACCAGCCCATGCTGAATATTCTGGAAACAGTAAAATTAATCTCAGAAGAGGCTGTTGGCCCAGATTCCTTACCTGTCAGGCGTTGCACAAATGTAACTTCTTATCAGAAAGAAATGAAAATGCAGAAGGTGTGTCTGGCCTAATCCTGTGTTTAACTTGGCAGTCGTCTTGCTGTGCTTCAGCACAGGCACAGTGGCATGCATGCAGGCTATTAGTGCTCTGTGTTTTTTTCTGGGGTGTGCTGCAGAGCGCCCCTTTAATTCTACTCCTTGTGTTTCAGGATCAGTCCATAATGCCTGAAGTGCGAGACCTTTCAGATGCCTTACCTGACCTGCCGATGGATCCGATCACAGGCGTTGGTGTCGTTGCATCCCGGAACCGAGCACCGACAGGTTACGATGTAGTAAGTAGAGCTGTTTCAGCTGCCGTTGCTAATGCTTTTCTTCTGCATTAATGAGGTTTCACTTTGCTGGGAACAGCATCATTTCCAGAGAGGGCTTGCCTTCAGGAACATGTTTTAAGAACTAATTTTATATACAGCTGCTCACTTCTCAGCTCACAGCCGTGCTTTCCCTCAGCAGAGTTTTGTGGGTGCAATCATGCTACTTCATCTGTGCTACTCCATAGGAGCATAATTACCTGGAGGAGGGGTTTTCAGAAACAGCTGGCCAGTGTGGCATGCAAATTTAATAATCCTGGTAACATTCATCCTGAAGGATTCCTAAGTATTGCACAAATCATATCTCTGAATAATGGATCTTGCATCAGCTGTTTAATCCCGCATATCAGCGCTGCACAGTGATGATGAGAAGCTTCAGAAGGGGAAGCAGAGTTTCACATCCAGCTGAAACTGCAGGGACAGTTCTGATGGACAGAATGCAAACCCCTGAATTAGGCTTGGGCGGGAGGCTAGGCAGCAAGAAAAGGCAGCTGGATACAGTAGAGATGAGAGGCATAAGAATATCTGAATGGATAGATGGAGGTCAGTGTTTAACAGCTGCTTGTTCCTTGGATTGCTTGGATAAGTTGCTGTATAACAAACAGCATGATTCCCACCCCCCATAGGCTAGTGTCCCAACCAGTGGAACATCACAAAATACTATCATGTAGAGCTTTATATGAAGATTTGGCCCATAGTCCATCTGTTCACCTTTCTGTGCCTCTTGCTCTAACTGAATTTGGGTAGTTGGGTGTAGAAGCCAGTTAGCTGAGGCTTTGCTCACACCTTTACAGCTCTGGGTCATAGCAGAGCCTGTGCAGTGTGAAAGGCAAAAAAAAGAAATGGATCAGGCTGAAGTAAGGACATTGTAGGAGAGAGTTGTGAAAAGGCTCCTTAGAGACCCAGAAGGTTTTTTTTTGCATTTGCTGCGTTTTTCTGAGTGCTGATTGCCTGCATGAGCTGGGCTGTGTAATTAGCTGCTTGCTCTGATAAAGGAGCATGGGACAATGTGAGAGTTGTGATAACGGAATTGCATTCTGCCTAAATGACTGGGCAGAGAGAGCGCTCACCCCTGATAGCCTGTCTGTGGTTTAATAGGGAGCTTGAGCACTAACGCAGTTTAAACTAAACAAGATAAAAGATTCTTCCTGTGGCTTAATCCAATTATGGAGGTGTTGTAATAATGCTTGTGAATGTGGGTCGCTCTCTCCTAGGGGGCACAGAGAGGAGACTGCCTTTGCTCTGATTTTTCTCTCTTCCTGTGTGTTTATAAGGAGCTCTTCTCTGACCCAGGGGCTAGCAGTCCAGCTCTAGGCAATGGTGAAGTACCTGCTGTCTGCAATTGCTATACCCTGTGCATGACTTCCACGCGTTTTCTCCTTCAGCCTTATGTGTGGCAAATCAGCAGTCTGACTCTGTGCCTGGATGCTGTGTGTGGACCTCATGACCTGCTGTCTTAAGTCCTTTCCACCTTGGAGAAGCCACATCATCACAGGCAGTGTAGGTGCCACCATGGTGTAACAGAACATCCTTGTGCCAAAACCCAGAGGATGGTGACACGTGGGGCTGTGCTCTTCTTGTCTGGGTGTTTGGGAATGTGCTCCTTCGCACAAGTCGGGACTCTATAACTGTATGTGGTATGCAGGGTTGCCACTTCCTCATGACCTCTCTGAAACCCGGTCCTTACTCTCTCAAAGTATGAAACCAAATATGCAGAAATGCTCTTCTAAATGCAGCGGAAAAAGTCTGTGGCATGTTCTGAGACATGGGCAACGTGCAGATTTGCAGATTTAAGCAGTTGCAGGCTCTGTGCTTCCAGAAATGCAATTTCCCTTATGAGACATTTAGCAGTTGCTTGCCGCTTCAGGGTGTAAGCCTCGAAGGAGGCAGCTGTGGCAACTCCATTCTATGAATGTTTTTCCCCAAACCATAATAACTGGAGGTTCAAAGTGCACCCTGAAAGGGAGAATCAACATCATTTGGAAAGTGTTAACACTCATCTGTCCTGGGATATTCTTGCAGTCTCCCTAGGCAACCTTTTGCTACAGTAGCATCCTGCAGCATTCGATTCTACAGGTGAATTAGAGCGGTATGGGAAAGCATCTCCGTTTGTTAATGATCAGTTTGACATCTCATAGTTTCATTGATGGTTTTGAGCTCTGTGATGGTGAAGATGGGGTCGGAGGCAAGCAGTGCTGCAGAGCAGAGGGCAGAGTTACCAAACCCATGGGGATCTTGGTGAACGAGTGGGAGGTTTTTCCCCCCCACTAGTTTTTTGATTATGCAGAAATCTCTGCTCCCTTTGTGCCTGCTTAGAAAACAGCTACTGACGCTTGTAATGACTAGCTAGTTCTTTTAATAGCTGAAGCAGTAAAGACCCAATTTTGCCAAAATATACAGACTGTATCTGTACTTAGATTCCTGAAAGTCTGCCCAAACTGGCAAGACTGCACATATGGGTGGGGAGGAAAGGGAGGAGAGGTGGGCGGAAGGGACCCTGGGGATAGGAGAGGTGTGGCTCTGGCACACATGGCAGCGCTCCTGATGGAGGGCCAGCAGCTAGCTCGGCTGTGCGCTTTGCTCTGCGGGTGAAAGCCGGAGGGTGCCGTTGACCTGAGGGGCTAATCCAGGGCTCTTCAGCCTGCCCTGGCACACGCGGCTGCGGGGCAGACCCATCCTACGGGGCAGGTCGTTCAGTGAGCCCGTTTGTCAAAAGGACCGTCTTGCCGTCGCCAGTAGTATCATACTAGCTGCTGGGCAGCAGTTAAGTCGCTCCACACTTGGAGAAGCTGGCTGGGGGATATTGCCTTCCTTACTGGGTGCCGCTTTCTTCAAGTCTGTTTGTAGCGCCTGCTTGAGGGACGTCTTTGCTGGACTGTTGGCTGCAAAAATGTCAGAAATCTCCAGCTCAGTGAGGAGAAAGACAATTCCTTGTGGGGCTGGGAAGGAACAGCGCTCTTCAATGCTGGCTGCGTGCCAGGTGAGCTGCTAAAGGGTAGTCAATCTGGTTGTCCAGATTCCTGCTTCACTTTCCTCTGTCACCCCTCCTTGACCCTCTCCTCTCCTGTTCTCTTCTGTGTCCCTTCTTTCTCTAGGACCTTGGGGCCCAACTGTAACCTTCCAGCATTGGCACAGAAGGAAAACTGATAGAGCTTGTGTTTTGCTGCAGAGCATCTTGCTGCACTTCACAGTTATATTTTTGGAGAGTTCATGAATGCAGGGATTTCCTCCCACCTTTGGTGCCTGGTCTAGTTGAGGGAGTGGGAAGAAGCTTGAAGTAGCCTAGCTCCTGCTGGTCCTAAGCCTTGCTGTGGCATGCAGTTCTGCTGCGGTACTGTTCGGCCCGTGTTGTTCCTGCAGTCTGTGTGGCTGTGATTTTGACGCAGGCTGGATTTAGCTCACAGTGTCAGGATGCGGTTGCCAAACCAGAGTCAGTTGATGCCTGGGAATAGCGCCTCACTGCAATATGGTCAGGAGGTATAGGTGTGCTTGCAGCATTGGTTGCCTGGTGTCTCAGTGCTGAGTGCTGTCATCTCCATCTCGCACGTTCCTTGCACCTTTTCTGAGCAGAGAAGATGGTGAGCTGGAGCTGTTTGGTGCCCTCCCTGCCAGGACAGGTCTGCCTCAGTCTTTCCAGGCAGACTCCCTTCTAGTGTTGTCCCACTGAGGGCATGTTCCCATCCTGAAACAGTGCTGCTCAGGCATTTTGAAGGGCAGCGGGGATCCTCCTTGCCTGCAGGAGCCCAGCAGATGATGTAAGAAGTTTCCTGTTTATATTACTCTATTTTCTTTCCCCATCAGTTTTCTGACAAGTCAATGCATGCTTATGTTCTCCAGGCTTGGAAAAAGTCTTCAGCA